ACAGGATACAATAATATTGTATTAGCCTTTGAAACTAAACATAAAAAAATAAAAATACAACAACAGGCAACAACAACAAGAACAATTATAAAATAATTCATATAATTATGTGAATCATTCAGTTTCTTGTTTCTGAATTTCCATAGAGAAAGTTTCAGATTTCTTTTGATGTACCAGTATTATTTCCCAAATAATTGGTTGTATGATGTGCCCTGAAATGTACATATGGAGACTAAAATGAAAACGTGATTTCAAAAATTCATGAGCATAAATTTCTTAAACATTTAAAAATATCATGAATGCCTACAATTAAAACATGCTCTGTACAAAACCGAAGCTGGTTTAGTAAAAGGCTGGCGTAAATCTGCATATATTCCTTGGCTGCTGCAACATCGAACCATTGTGAAAACTATTAGGGTATTGAATGGTTGTAATTTAGTCTGGAGTCTGGAAAATGTTAGTGTTGTGCATGCCTTGGGCAAAACTAATCCGGAATGTTGAAATTCGCAGATACACAGTTATAATTCTTAGGCCGACATTTAATCTAAGATAACTCATCTATTTTAATCTCTGTATTAATATTTTATTGACACTACATTGACACAGAAATTTATGTACAGCAGTATCGTCTTAAAAAATAAAAATAAAACTACCGTAAGACATACAACACTAGGAACTATAAAACTACAAATGTAAGAAATAAAGGTTAAATGTTTCAGAAGAAAACGACATAATGGAAATTTGGACATAAAAAGAACAAATATTTAAATTAATCTTAATTTTTAATTTTTTTTATATAGGCTTGGCTTTTGTCTGCATACATGAAATATTCAAATTGCTCGTTTTTATATCTAAAGTAATATGTTGTTTTGAGATGACTCGTTTTGGAGAGTTTTTCTTTGTTTATTTACTCTGGGCAAGACAGAATAAGTGCATCTCATCTTCTATTTCCATTTCATTGCATAATTCTAAAAATCTTTCTCAGTGATGTCTTTGGTTTAGTATGCCTACTGGGTTCTATTTTCAGATTGTGATTACATAGCTAATATCTTCTCAGTCGATTGCGTAAATCAATGTTTTTAATTGTGTACATTTCTAATTAGATTTTTTTTTTTAAATATTCTGTACGTCCTGTGCTCATTATTTCCACTGTTGAATTGTTTTAGTTATCATGGTAGATTTCATTTTTCCCGTGGCTATAGAATTTATTTTCTATCGATGTTATATGGGCATTTGTTAGAAGATTTTTGATGTTAATAACTGCAAGTTTGGTCGAAGGAGCAAATGTTTTTCCATGAGATATTGAATACTAGTATTTCATTAACAAAACAGCAATGAAGACTATATATCTCTTCTGTAATTGTTCTGTTCTGACAAAGTCTGAACATGGGGGTTTAGTTTTCCTCTGGGAGTCACTGCACATGTTCACATCAACATCGGTCTCTGATATTCTTATTGTTCAGACCACAGTCCCTTAACACCCGGTGATTTTCAGTTACTATCACACATATATAAACAAACATATGGCATGGTTTATGATCTGACTTAAAGTATTGATTATTACTGGTACTACCTTATACTCAAATATGTTTAGATATTCAGAGTCCGGTCCGCTTAGACTTAAAATATACCATGAATATTTACTTCTGAGATATAATTTTTGGCATTTGCCGGTTCTTTGATATTTCAGCCTCATCCTCCTGTACTTCAATAAGTAATTCGGACTTCCCAGATTGCGTAAAAACGGATAGTTTCATGATTTTGACACAGAAAATGCCTGGGCTAAATTATTTGCCGAAGGACGGCCGCTTAGGTATGCATGCACTGTAACATGCAGCACATGAACCTAAAAGTATTAGGCAATCAAACAAAAAATTACTTTTTGCTAAAGTACATATTAAAGTACATTCAAGGTCTTCACTTTTTCATAGCATAAACATGATTTTCACCCTCGCCCATTATGACACTCTCAAAAGCGAGTAATTTTCGTTCCCCTCAAGGGTAAACAATGGTTCGGCCCCGTACTATATTCTGTTATTTGAAACAGTATCTTAAGCTTCCCGTGTTTATTTGCCTTCAATTATGTTTTGGTGGTTGTTACTGCCATTCCTAGAAACTTGCCGATAACGGTTTGGTCCCAATTTACGTAGCTATCGCTGAGAAAATTAAAAAAATTTTGTTGTTTCATGGCAAAAAAAGTAATTAGCATATTAAACATTGTTCTCGACATTTGTCACCATTTTTAATTATCCTTGACTTTTCCCATGCCAGAGTGAATTACATCACGAAGAATTGTTCCCAGGGAGTCTTCCATAAAAATTCACAATTGTTTGTGTCGTTTTTGTCCTCACTGGTCACCGCATGTTTTTACAGTAGCTATCACTGAGGTAAATCGACTCTCACCCCTTGGTTATTATTACTGATTGATTCACATCCCAAATTTCGATCTTCAACGACGCAGGTCGTTTGGAAACTAGGGGAATTACCAGTGCATGGGTCTTATTTAGGAACTCCTGCCAGAGCAACTTCACAAATCATAAGGGCAAATTAACAGCTCCTAAGGAATAGCACCAGTTGTTAAAGACACATAAAACTATAATTCTCAACAACGATGAAAGAACCAGTTACAGTGACAAAGCTCTACACCCACGAAAGCAAGTACTGCTACAAAATCAACTTTAATACTGCGAAAGCCACTCATCACGAAGCTGCTAGTTAAAAATTAAATAAATCATGCATTTCTGCTATGCTGGAACCAGGTCGTGTTTCATTCTACTTAAACATAAATTATATAGAACATATCATAGGACTTTAGATTGTTGCTAGTTGTTTTGATCTACTGGATCTGAGGCTTACTTGTCAAGGTTTTTGTCATAACTAGATTTTACTTGTGCATTTAATGTCTTTACTGATTGTATTTACATCTTGTCAATTATGTAAGTCAGTAAGTAATAGTCTTTATTGAAGTCGTATCCTAAAAATGGACATACATGTAGATCTAAGTACAATAAAGCATGGTTGTCATTCCATGTTAGAAACATTCAGAATAAAAAAGAAGATACATTAGTATAAAAAAAATAAAATAAACTAAACAAAACTACAACAACAAACTTGCCAAAAAGTGGGTTAGAAATGCAAATTAATAAAGTAAATGTTGGGATTACTAATAGATATCTGTGAGGCAGCTGTTTTTTTTTTAATTGGTTTCTCTTAGGTTGAAACATTCGTATATGTATTTTGCTAGACATTTTAGCATGACAGTATTCCTTGTGCCTAGTATGTTGATAAAGCTTGTATCAGTGTTGCCTTCAGAACACTGTCTAATTGTGTTGAGATGGATCTGTCTTTCACTTTTGTATAAATGACATTTTAACAGAAAGTGCTCTTCATCTTCAATATCATTTGTATCGCATACAGGACAGCTTTTTTCGGTAATATTAATTTTATGGTATCTGCCCATTTCAATTTGTAAAACATGTGCACTTAATCTTAGTTTGGTCATTGATGATCTGTGTAGTGTATCTCTATACCTAATAAAGTCTACAATGTTTGAATCATGAGAAAATAGTAGCAAGAAAAATATGGAACACAAATTATTTATTTACACACTGAATATACACTGATACCAAACTGTTGCAACTTGTATACTCAATGGACACTGAGTCTGAAATGGTCTGAATAAAGTTGGTGAGATCTACACGTAGGGATGTTCTGTGTGAATGGGTCATGATTGAGGGAAAAGCACAGAAACTATGATGTAAAGGTTTCAAGGTCAATGCTTTATATAAATCTCCATAAAAAAATAACATTTTTGGAACTGTTTCCATAGAAAATCATGTTGAAGCAATATTTTATGACAAAAAAAATTATTAATCACTTGAATTTCCTAATAACTCATGTCAACCATATGAAGTTATCATTGAACAAAATATGAAATGTGATGAGAATTTTAACCAATGGTTTGTCCATTTTGTGTGTGAAAAGTAGTTCGGTTCATACCATATCTTATTTTGTAAATAGCGAGTTCTCAAAGGTGTCAGTGTAATGATGTATGTATTTAGTGAATTGACTTCTAGCACTAAGTGTGTGTGGTGGGAGGATTTTGATTTCCCTAGATACCGACATGATATTACCCATAATTCAACATCCACTGAGGTTAAGGATAATTTGTCAATGTTTATTCAGATCGTGGTGTGGTTATAAAAATGTTCAAAAATGCTAAAGGGTTAACCATTTGAAATCATGGGGGGGGGAGGGTTCTGGAAGAGTGACAGTGCAGTGCAATTGTTTTTCTCTCTGTGTACATTTTTATTTTTTGTGAATTTTTGTTCTTTCAGTGTCAGTATGCAAATTGTTTCCTTCTTTCTACCAACCCCTATTATTTCATATTATTGACCGTAAATGTATTTAAAAATTATATAAATTTATTTATTTAATAGGATACTTTGTTTTGTGCCCTCAAATTTCTTTTTCTGACATTGACAATAATGAGAATTAGGAATTTTCTACACAAAGTACCGGTAGGTCACCAGCCTGCAACTACTGGTATGTGTAATTAGATTAAAATTAAAGTCTAATTGTTTTGAATTTTGAGTATAATTTGTCACTTTTCTTTGTTTACGTTTATATACTGCTGTTTTTACATTTCTGACCGACTTGTGTAGGGGGTTGATTGCGTTAAAATTTCATAATTTTGAACAACCACTCAGAATGCCTGTTTCAAACAACAAAGCGTCATGCCATGTGTGCACTACGTTTTGTCTATGATGCCGATATATTCTAGAAGTAAAGCGTTTGAGTAGTAAAATTTACTCAGAAGCAATCACACAAATACAATCCTATTAGAGTTGCATTATCAGTTGTAAGTGAGCGGATAACAGGTAAAATTTAAAAATGCTTGTACAATACAGTGCGTTTTAATAAGATTGTGCTCGTCGGTAAAAGCAACATTATTTATTGTTAATTCAACCAAATGGATGCATCCTTAATAAGGCACTTACTAATCAATCGTCCATTGCTTGCAAAATCTAGAAAAATAAGAAAATCTTAACAAGTAACAAATTACACAGAGAATGTAAACAGTGCAGTTCCTTCCTTCCTGTTTTTATTGCTCACTTAGCTCTTACATATCTTCAACTTATAATGTGCATGTCACATACCCCCGGTCACATACCCCCGGTATATGCTGTCATTGTGTCTTTAAATACATCACCTGACGTTGTTTTTCTCATTTCCTCTCAGCTATCCGTAGAGGCTTTCTGCGGCAATGTGTTGATAATTTTAAGTGATATGCAAAATGAAAACAACGTCTGTATGAATTGCATATCATATACAACATAGGGTTTGCATTTTCATTGAATGGTAAACTTGCCCAAGGTAAATTTTAAGGGAAAGGAAATATTTTGAAAGACTATGTAACTAAACTCAATAAATGAATAAATCTGAATTTTGAAATAAATCGGTATGATAATGAAGTATAATTCTGTCCCAGACTGATTTATAATTCATGGTCTATTGCACTTCACGGCAAATCAATGAATTCTAACACATTGCCGATAGATGACGACAAACATGACATTTGGGTATGTGTAATTATATATTAATGTAGTTCGAATTAAAATTTGTAGAGAGGCAAGGTGCAGGTCATCACTTTGTATTCTCTTGGCGCAACTTTAATAGGCCCACAGCTGATGACATATTCTCAGTTTCTTTGATTAAACATCCTGTCAGTTGTGTACACTGTATAATAATTTTATAAGGTAACAACTAAGGGTGCATTGCCCTCTTGCATTGTAGGAGTGCCTCTTTGTGGTAAGTAACAATTAATTATTTTAATTTCTGTTCACCCGAATTAGAATTAATAAAAAGTAATTGCCCACCCGAATTAGAATTAATAAAAAGTAATTGCCCACCCGAATTAGAATTAATAAAAAGTAATTGCCAAAACTGAAATAATTAGAAAAGTAGCTTACTTTTTCTAAAGAAAACCTGTACGCATTATTTTGTTTCTTATACCACAATCATCAAATGTACTTTCTTCTTATTGCCCCTTGTTAATAAAATCCTGGAGAGAACAATGATGAGAATACGTGCAGTGTCCTAATGTGGAAGTATTGCCCAGTGGTTGTTTCTGCTGGCTCACTGATTGGTTCACCCCTACCAATATAAGTGTATATTTCTTTCCTGTTGGAAGTTTCAATATCATAATATCTTTCAAAATTAGGTAAAACTTGTATTATAGCATTTTTCATGATTATGAGTGTGGCCATTTTGTTATTAAATATACATGTGCCCTGTCTTATATAAGAGATGTATTCAATAATTTAAAAGAAATCTGACATAAAGACAAGATTGATTTGTGTTAGTTTTAGGTGGGGTTATAAATTTCGATTCTGTGCATAATTTGTTTGGTCATTTCCCAGCAAGAAAGACGTAGATTAAAAAATAAGTGAAAAGTCCTAAAAAACATTATTTGTCATCATATGAGCGTTTGGCTTGGCTTGACTTGAATTTCAATCAAACTGCATAACAGATCACAGGACTTTTCGTGCACTAATTAATTTCTATGACTCACTTTGACTAATTTTGTTCACTAGTGCTACAAGACTACATTTTTTCAATCAACCAATTAATTATTTGAACATTACTTGCATACGTAACTGCATATTTTATGCAAATTTATGCAAACTCATTCAAACATGTGAGACCGATTTTTGTTATATTAACTAGACATTATTAAAATGCACTACCATATTTACATTGTATTTGCCACATAATAGACTAGACTGATTTCTCTCCACATGCATTAATTGTTATACACTCCTAAAATTCAATTGACTTTAATTTGCTTATATTTAAAGTGCAGAAACGTTTAACCTTTTAAATTCAGCATTTCAAGCTGGGGGACTTAGCCAAAACTTCCCCAACATGAATTACGCAACCAATAAATGATCTTTTCCTATAATCCATCAAAGATAAACACTTTCATCAATTCTAAATAACCATGTACAATCTTTAGTTGTACATTTATTAATGGCGTCAAAGGAAGTCAATTATTGCCTTGCTATTAGATTTTCCTTGATTACTCACTTCTAACAACCAAAGTTCATTGAAGAGACTGTTGCTAGGTAACTAATTGAATGTAATATATCATCATACATCACCTGTCTTACAGTTGTCCTTGTTAGTTTTATTAATTCTAGACCATGGAATGTATGTTTGAAACTTGTACATGTTTCAACGTTTTTGCAATGTTGTTAATAAACAGATTTTAAATAAAAAAAATGAGAGACACATGACAAATAAACACCTCTGATCAAAAAACTCGTTGGTGAATGTGATAGTTCCAATAAAAAAACAAACAAACACAGGATATAATTATTATTATTAATTGAAAGAGCAATAACTGTTAAAATGTTATCCGACAATTGTTATTATTTTTGGAGCAAAATTATTCATAGTTTGATTAATTTATATCTTGCTAAAATATTGATACAAATATTTTCACATTATCTACCCTTTTCAATTTAGTTTAGATAAAAGGATGCAGACATTTTAAAGGTTTTTATCAATATCTACGATGAAGACAAAATTATACAATATTAGTAAAGATTAAATATTTAGTATATTTTTGTATTTTATATGAAAATGTTAAAATAGTAATACAAACATTCAATCAATAATGACCCAATTTGATTGAAGTATTTTAATTGGACTACAGTGTTCAATATTTCAGGAATATTGATCATAATTAATGTCAGTTTTGACAGTCCAAGAAAGGTCATAGGTCATTTCTGAATCTGATTAATTCCATATTCTCACACAAAGTGACATGCTATGATGAGTAGGTATTTGTTTTTGTGGCAGATATAAGATGTCAATGCTGATTTGTGAGATTGTACATTATCGTCATTCAGTCAATCACGAAGTAGCCAGCAGGGTACAGGTTAACTATTTATTTCTAGACAACACAAAATCGACTAAACCATTTAAAATGTAGTTTATCTGTTGTTAATACAGTGACCCCTAACGAAGACATGCTTCAGTAAGTTGCGATTTCGGCTAAGTCGTGGGTGGCTCCCAAAAATTTGATTGTGTTTTGCCAACAGTTTTTTGTAGTTGTATCGTGTATGTTAAAGGAATGGAGGAGACAACTTAACATTTACTGTCTGTCTATTACTGAGATACAATGGCGGCCTGACTTGAGGTGTTAACGAGGGTGTCAAGTCGCAACTTTTCGTACTTCTTGGCTAGTCCCCCAGTGATATAGCTCTATAAAACTTGCTACAATGAGTTGAATCCATCACTCTGATCTCTACTTCTCAACTGAGCAGCATGTTTAAGTGAAAGCTCCCCAGTCTGTCTATAGGTAAAAAAACTTGCAGCGATTGACTGTGTCGAGAAAGGTGAGTCCACTATTCGTGAATGGGTAAAAAATGAAGAAAAGATGAGAAAATTTTGCTTTTGAAGTTGACCAAGAGGCGGAAATAACAGAAAATGTGCAAAATTATGCGACAATGATGACATCGATAAACCTGATAGGCTGTGATGCTTTTCAATAAAGAAAATGTATTATAAATAAACCCATATGTGTATACTAGTATATGATTTTATCCATTTTTAATGCATTAACGCCCCTCGGTAATTCGCGACCCTTGATAAGTCTTCGTTTTACTTGGATCCCGACACCACAATTTAGCGAGGAGTCACTGTATATGCATGCATTGTTTTTATATCAAGTTTAAACAATCTATGCATGTCTGAAAAAAAAAGGATCACGACACGAACAGACGAATGGATGGACAGACAGACTGAGGACCAAAATTAATTGCTTGCTGGTCTGTCAATAAGTATTTTTTTACGTTTTCATGTTGTGTCATAAGTGAATGTTAATTACAGAAATGTTTCTATGGTCAAAATAAGTAATATTTTAATAATTCAGTATACAAAAAATGCAAATTTTGGTTTTATGCGCTTCTAATAGAGATGTGCTTCAAATAGAGCAAATATGGTAATACCTGTAGGAAAAATTGTAATAGGGGAAAAAATAATACTGATAAGATCTTATTGAATTATTTTGTGGAAGGTTACATTAGGTTAATTGGCAATGGTGGTAAAAAAGTTAAATTAATGAGTGAGAACTAATACTCTAGGGGAATCTTGTACTCATTAGGAAAATCATCACTTCCCATGGGTAGATATGATAACAGTAAATTACTGTTAATGATGCATATTAAAGTATATTATTGAGTGAAAACAACTATTATATTATTTAATAATATCTTTATGGACTGGATACCACCCTCGGTCATACAGCTTACCGTACATGTCCTCGCAACCTCAGGGGCTTTTGCCACACGACCTCAGGCCACAAAAGCTGTATCCAGTTCATAAAGGTTTTATCATATACCTTATGGGTGTAATTACAGTTTTACCATGGCGTGACCTCAAACACTGGACGTAGTTTAGAATGATGCATTTTGTTTTGATTGATGAAAGCTGGGTCAGGCGTTATACAGGAAATTATTGCCCTGATGTGAGGGCGCACTTCCCATAACGTCACGAGCTGGGCAATACAAGGTGTATGATGAGATGGAATTGATACAAGAAAAATAATGTTTATTCAAAGATCAGGTTTGTAGAGTCCCAGAATTTTCAAAATGTCCCTGAAAGTCCTGGAAAAATGCTTTTGAGTCATGGAAAGTCTTTGAAAATGAACAATCGACATAAAAATCCTTTACTTGTAAAGTTGTCTATTGAAATCATCATTAAAATGTAAATTTAAGATATACTGGTAGATTATTTGAATGATCAGCATAGAAAGTCAGCTATTTTATTATGGAACACTACAATTCTCAGGTTGCCAAACAAAAAATTGAAAATGCAGATAATGACCAAAGTTGTGATAAATAGTCTGAAAAACTCATAAAAAACTGATAAAAATTCCTGGAAAATGCATTTTATTTCATTTCAGGTATATGAACCCTGATGATAAAAAATAAATAAATTCTTTACAAGATGGACTTTATTTGAATGTTATAAAATACTTTTGTGAGTAAACAACTGTGATCACAGCCATAGCAACTGTTACCATGCCCATAACGACTGTTACCACAGTCATAGCAACCATGATCACAGCCATAGCAACTGTTACCATGCCCATAGCAACTGTTACCACAGCTATAGCAACCATGATCACAGCCATAGCAACCATGATCACAGCCATAACAACCATGATCACAGCCATAGCAACTTTCACCACAGCCATAGCGACTGTTACCACAGCCATAGCAACCATGATCACAGCCATAACAACCATGATCACAGCCATAACAACCATGATCACAGCCATAGCAACAAAGATCACAGACATAATAACCATGACCACAGCCATAGCAACCATGATCACAGCCGTAGCAACCATGATCACAGCCATAGCAACCTTGACCACAGCCATAGCAACTGTTACCATACCCATAGAAATCTTAACCACAGCCATAGCAGCCATGATCGCAAACACAGTTACCATGATCACAGCCATAGCAACCATAACCCTATCCATAGCAACTGGCTGAAAAACCTAATGAAAAGATGAACAGTTTTTTTGCATAAAATTCAAATCTTTCAAAGTTACTACTCAGTAATTTAATTTGGCAGAGTAAAATATGACAATGTTTGTAGGGGATGGATTTTATTCATACACATTATTACTTTTTGTTACCTATATATTTATTGCCTACAAAATTAACTGATATAAATGTTCATTTTCTAAAGATGCAATAAAATGTTACCACACAGGGATACTTATAAAAGCATGACATATTTTCCTTTTCTTAACGGTCAACAGAACAAGCTAGCCACATACCACTTAAAATTGTGTAATCTGAATTGCGAAAATTATAGGCATCGTAAACATTGATTGAAAATTAAAATGATTGAAGACAACCCTGCGTGTTTCAATAAAGAACTGCTAATTAGAAATATATGTCAGTATACCTAGAAATCCAATTTACAGGGAAGTGTCTGCGATAGAATAAGCTTGCTTTGTGCCCGTAATAGCATAATAAAAAACTTACTATGTAATCCAGTAATAGTTGCCAAAGTAAGCATCATTTATTTCAAAGAAGTCACTGTCGGTATACGTTTCTATAGCCACCTGAAATGCAGCCACTCATGGATATGACTATAGGGGAATCCTGCATGTGTTTGACTAATTTGCATATCAAATTGTCATAATGAAAAACAAGAAGATGGTCATATATCCTTATCTTATAGTTCTAAACATGAAACTTTTTAGCTCCGCTGTCGACTTTGTTGAGAGGGAGCTTATCATATGAGTGATTGTCCGTCGTCGTGTGTCGTCCGTGTCAATGTTTTACTTTTTCGACTTCTTCTTGAAAACTACAAGCCTGAATGCTTTGATACTTGGTGTATATGTAAAAAGTGATATTTTCGACTTCTTGTTAAAAACCGCAAGTCCAATTGCTTTGATTTTACATATATATGTACTACATGTTGACCTCTCTCAGATTTGTTCATTTTGTAATGATATCTTTAATTCTCAAATATTGGTGAATATTTTTGTAATTTTTGGTAAAAAGTGATATTTTTGAATTCTTGTTGAAAACAGCAAGTCCCATTGCTTTGATACTATACATATTGTTCATTTTCTAATGATATCTTTTGTTCTTTAATTGAAATGTGCATTGCGAACAGCGGAGCTATCTCAGCCGACTGGCTGCTTGTTTATTTTTGCTTGAAGGGAAAAATCGATGAAAATTAAATCCAGTGAAAATACATTTTTCCCTGTATTTTATATTCAACTCAGTGAAAATGTTGTTTCTGCGAAAATTAAATTCCAGTCAAAATAAATTATTTGTGTGTAAAGAATCAGTGAATTTAATGTCAGGATTGTGCTTATGAGAACAAACATATTTAAGTAAAAAAAATTATATCAAAACCTGAAGTGTTAGGTAATGACAGTATATACTGAAATGTTCAAAGCAATCAATGCAAGAAAAACACTTTGCTCTTTGACAGGGAGCTGAAATTTATTTGGAACCATACGTCAATACGGCAGACTTTTAGTACCACATCTGGTGGAACTCATTTAGTTGAGTTGTGTATGTAACTTCTTCAGACAAAGATGAATTGTTATCGAGCTCCAACACAGTCTAAACAATAATTCAACATATTTAAACTATCTTTCAGCTAGCTTAAAAGCTAAAAGGTTTCAAAACATATAGATCTTATTTGTGCACTGTGATCTGTCTGAATACGTCTCATACTAGCCACTTGGGCAAATTTAAAAAAAAAAACGTTGACATTATTGATGTCTGAGAAAAGGTAAAGCCAGGTGAGAACCAGATTAACCTTTTCACCAGCAGTTTTCTCTTTTTCATTACAAATTCACAAAAAAATCCAGTTTATAGTCTGCACTCTCCTTTAGAAGATTGGGACAAAAATATCCAATTTTTTTGAGTAAAAACTCAAATTTGACTCAAATTTCATCTGTTGGCTCCAAAATTAGAATTCATTTCCAGAAATATTGAAGAATATAAGAAAAGTGCAGGAAAATTTGGGCAAGGAGGTCTAGTGGTGAAAGAAATGCTTGGGAATTAAGTTATGTGTTTATTCTTAAAATAAGTAGGTAGTGTATTTCAGTTGCACAGTTCACAATTATTCTTGACAAATTGACAAGACAAGTTTCTTGACGACACCATTCAAATGTTGATTAGAATTTATTAAAATTTTCAAATTGCAGCATTGTCTGGCTGTGACATAACTATCAACATGTATGTCATTACCCCGGTAGCTATTGAAGTCACTATTAACTCAACACAGTCATGCTTTATATAGCACCAACAAAGACCATGGCTGGAGTTGATTGGTTAACACTTTGGACGCCAAAGTCAGCTATTGTCACCTTTCACCATATAAATCTGCAATTTTCCATGCAATGGAACACAATTTTTACACGCATATTTTAATTAACAATGTGCATCGTTATTTTCAATACGTGGTAATATATCCGGAGATTGCTTCAACATATTATTAAAATAAAAGGTGGCTTATACCCAGGGAGGAACATGAGTGGGAAAAGTACAGTATTTTTAAAAATATTCATAAAAACATATAACCAATAGAAAATTATATATTTAAATGAAACATAAAAATGAAATAAAATGAAACATCAAATTAAAAAAAAAAAACAACATACAAAATGTATGTTATTTCACACAATTTTAGGTAGGGAAATTTTTGTCTTTATTTTTGGAGTGATTATCTGATTAGACTTGGTTATCTTGAAATTACATAACAGGCTGCAAAATAGTAACTTGTTAGTTATCAAATAAAATTCTTTTTAAAAAAAATGGTTGTATTGTGAATTATACTGTTATTAAACTCACATTCTGACAAAAAAAGATGCCTTCTCATTTTAAGTGAAATTATTATATTAAAATCCTGCCAAAACCAAATCAAAATAGAATTTTGGAGAAAAGATTTACGTTAAACAAGAAACAATTTTAAAATTAATAAATATGTGCATGCTTCAAATACAATTTATTTTCTGGGCCTATATTTATTTATTTATTTCTATATTTTTCAGGATAATACAATTTAAATGACGTTGCTGATACTTGATGTTAACATGATACTAGATACTGTATTATTCATATGTGCCTGGATGACTTTTATTATGCTGTACCTGCAGTATCAAAAAGAGCAACGTGAGAAAGGAGACAGCATGGTTGACGATGACACCTCGTTGTCTAAGCAGGAGCTTATCTTCCAAGACACAAGTCTTTTTGCCTGCTTGGGTTTTTCTCATGACGAAGTGACGAACTTTACATCATTCACCGATCGCTTTTCAAGTTTTGATGGCGTCGCATCGGCAATAAAGCGAGCAGGTCTTCACACTAGTCATCTTATTGTTGGGATTGATTTCACCGCCAGCAACGAATGGCAAGGGAGGAAGGTCTTTGGAAATAAATCGCTTCATCATGTCTCTGGAAATAAGATTGTAAATCCTTATCAGAAAGTTATTGCAATAATCGGAGGAACTTTGGAAAAATTTGACAGCGATAACCTGATTCCGGTGTATGGATTCGGAGATACGGAAAGTAAAAATGTGAGTATCTTCCCAGTGAAAAAAGATTGGACTCAGTGTCGAGGATTTGGTGAAGTTCTTCGCTGCTACAATGAAATAGTTCCAAACATTAAACTCAGTGGACCAACCAGTTTCGCGCCAGTGATAAACAAAGCTATAGAGCATGTCCGAAACACTAATTTGTATCACATACTTTTGATAATCACAGATGGACAGCTGAAAAATGATAAATCAACGGTGGAGGCGATCGTTGAAGCATCCAACTATGCATTGAGCATCATACTCGTCGGTGTTGGCGACGGCCCCTGGGGTACTATGCGGCAATATGACGACATGCTTCCAAAACGGAAATTTGACAATTTTCAGTTTGTTGATTTTCATAAAGTGTGCGCTAAATCGAAATATGCTGAGCCAGCATTTGCCTTGCATGCATTGATGGAGGTTCCAGACCAGTATAAAGCAATATGTGAACTAGGCTATCTAAATGTGCCTAAAGATAAATACATCTAAATTTTAAAAACTAACTTTTCATTCTATTTTGGGATTTAACTGTTTGATTTATTTGACACAGTGAAACTCACTGAACCCATTACAATGTATTAGGGAGTATGAATCCTGAATTCTTCCTGAATCTGCGAGTCGTGTGGTAAAGTAAATTTAGATGGTATTGCATGAACCATTAAAGTTCTATAACACTTTAATAAACAAATTTAATGTATAAACACAAATTCTTTTCAAGCTGGCCTTAAGTGTACACTTTAGTGCCACATGAGGGCGCCATTTCCCTGCATTCCATAATGGCTAATGTAAAAAAATAAATAATTCCTGTGGAATTTTATGTCTGAGACAGACTAATCACCAGAAAACAAACTAAATATGCTTGGCAATAAGTATTTTCGCACACATTTAGAATTGCACCAAGAGATTTGACTGAGAATCAAAATTTACTAAGCACATACATTATTAATAGAAGACATATTTTTGTAGTATTTATACAACGCACTGTATATTTTCTGCATTATTTTTACTGTGCCGGCCCACAAAGGTTTTTTTTTTTCTCGTCCCAGGGAAAATTAAAAAAATTACATGGTGATGTGGTTTTAGTATTTTTTGTATTAAGATGATTCATTACCATGACAACAAGATACAATTAGTAAATAATGTTAATGATTACATGAATTATAAAGTTTGATTTGAATTGATAAAACATTATCTGAAACAGAAAACAAATGTTTCCCCATTCACCGTGTGTCGCACACTTCAATGATGTGTGAAATTGATACGTTAAATGACAAAAACCCAAACTTTTTGTTTTGCCTTTGGCGATATTTACCGTAATATGCTTATCAAAATCATGTGAAACATAATTTTATACTAATGAGATACAGGAACAATGCACAAAGACAATAAAGTTCACAGTAATGTGCATTGCATACTGGATATATAAACTTACATGGGCATGATCGAAAATGGAACATTTCTGAGTGACTTACATGATGCTTTGTACATACTGGCAGGTATTTTTTGATTGATACAGAGTACATATTTTGTGGTATTCTGGTAAAAAACTTTTTTTTTTCCACTGGTTTTGTGATGTGATGTACCGTATATGTGTTGACGGGCATATTTTATAATTGCTGTGAAAATAATTTATTATGGTCATTCATAGAAATATTCAACAATAACACAAGAAATAAGATGCGATTCTTAGCTTTATTCTGACGTATGTGGTGACCAGATATTTATATTTATTTATTTTTTGGCCTTGTTCATCTTTACCTGAACTATGAGATTTGTTAAAATTTTTAATTTTTTTTTTTTATGAATACAAACATTTAATAATTTATTTAAATTGTTGAAATTTACACACTTCCTATATTCTATTACATGATGTAGTTTTTTTCATATAAAATAATTTTCAAAAACATGTTCATATATTTAAACATTTGAACAAATGTGGTTAGAATGCGATGTTGATAATTAGATTTTACTGACTATTGCTTTCTATTGATTACATTTCCAGAGACACCTGATATTGATTGATACTTGGTGTCGCGACTAAATGTTAAAACTAAATAATTCAATAGCTAAATTACAAAACCAAAAAATAAAACAATATGGCTGCCTTAAATGAATTTATACTGAGCAAGCAAAATTATTCCACATTCCATTGCATAAAACATGTTAATTCTTGTATTGTAGTGTGATGACATGGGTGTATATGCTTTTGACTATGCTTGTCTAATGATCTACATGACCATATGGCTGCATGTGTTTTTTGATTGGTTTATGATAAAAAAGAAACCATTGTTTGGTCCGTATGTCACACTTTTGTATACAAATTCCATGTTATCTTATGCTCAAAGCAAATTTTAAAAATAGATACAATCTGTCATAACTGCCGAATACTTAATTCAATTAATTTTTTTTATCTTACCTGTTTTTATTATTATTTTGAGAATTTGTGAATAATAAATATGAAAGTTTATTTTGAAATTGTACATCGGCATCCATTAAGAATGCGAATAACGATGTTACAATATTTCATATTTTATTTTTTTGTTGTGAATATTTTTAAATAATGCTAATCATTGTTGATTTGTATTTTAATTAAATATTTATTTACTAGTATTTGTTTTGATTCAGTTATTCATTGTCCATTACTTAATTTATTTGTTTATCTTATTTGTGATCAAAATTTGTTTTTTAAAAAAAAAGTATACCATTTGATAAAGAATCACCGTGAAATCATGTCTGCCACAAATTATTGTAATTTTTCTGACAACCATTACTCTCATGAAATTTTTTTTCTTCAGAATTTAATAATTGTGATGTAATAGAAGTCATATTACCGATATACAAAGGTACTGCTTGTTGCTATGGTAACATATATGTAATTTAACTCGGAGACTGTGCTGCACTTATTTGACATATTATTAATCAAAATCATAAAATATTATGACTGAATGGACATGTATTTCGTATATATTAATATATAGTTGTAAAACTGCCATAGAGGGCAGTGTTCATAATTCTGATATATGATAGTCCAAGCTTTACTGTCCCCACAAAACTTGTCAATTTTTGATTCCGTTGTGTCTATGAGAATCCCTATATTTTGAGGTTCATGCTTTAAAATGTTTTTTTCTTCTCATTTTGGCATTATAATCACATTTTTATAGAGTTGATAATCATGAAATAATAGATAATTTCATAACGTGGAGTATAGCTATATAGAGCTAGTGATTTTAGACACAATTATCTTTTTTCTTCTTTGAAACACCAAAACTTTATGTTCAACACTGCATCAAATGTGTTCGCGACAAATTTCCCCCATACATTTGTGCCACAATCTATTATTGTTTAATTTCAAGACTAGTAATATAAACATTTTGAATAAACTACACTTTCAACATTAATGCTAAAGATCTTTTTGAAGGAAAGGTAAAAGAAATTTAGATTAATTCAGTATTGCTTAAACTAATTTGAAAAAAAAATTGTAGTGAATGAACTCTCTTTGACAGTGTTGAAAAAAAAAAAACATTTTATGTCAAATTTCGCTGAAATAGAACAACACAGTTTTGTAATTATTTGATTTTTGTCACAAATCAAATGCCAATCGCCCGGTGAGCAACCCCCCCCCCCATAAATGGTTATCAGGCAATCGTTTTATTTGTAAAATAACAATAATTTATTTTTAATTAATCAATTTTGTTTTGTAATGTCTTTTCATATAGGTATTATGTCGTACCATGACTCTTTGAAGCTGGTATAAAACTTGTGCTGGAATTTCATGGATTTTTTTTTATGAAAAACAATTTACACATGTATGTCACATGTGACTTAATTGTATTTTAAAATTGAAAACTAGCCTAGTAAAGTTCTATCTACTAGTATGTTTCCATGGAAACAAGCACCACCATTAAAATTGATCATCCACTAATATTTTCCATCTTCCAACTGATTTGCTATTTTTATAATTTGTTATTGTTTTAATTATTATATTTATTTTCTCAGGTAATTTATTTATTTCCATATTTATATTCACAAAAGTTCTTTCACGATTTATTGCAGTGTACATTTTTCACATTAATGATTACTAAAATAAATTCTTTTTTCTCCCCTGACAGAAAAATATTGTTTTTAAATAAACTGGAACTCTTATTTGAAGCAATAATAAGGAAATAATTTAAGTTTATCTTCTCTATGCTACAGACTGGTTAAAACAGGGGTTTTAAGAAACAATGTCAAACATTACTCTTCCTATAACATTTTTTTGCTGACGCACTGTTGAGACATTTTTTGTCTTGCTTTAAAAGTAATGGTTCAGCCGATACAATGGATGGCATTTCTGTATGTTGCCTATAGAGGGCACATTATATTTTTCTGCTGAAGTGTACAGCTGGTTTAGAATGTCACAGGATAAGCTCCTTAATGGTTATACCATTGACCATCTATGGTTATATAATGTACGTTAAAATTGTGTTCATTGAGTTTTCAAAATAAAAATTTGCCCTGTATTAAAACAATAAAACTTAAACCTTTACATGAACAATAATGCCTCGTTTTTTGTTTGCATGTGTGTGGTTTTATTCTGTTATTCTGATTAGGCATATCTTGACATGTTATAGCGAGGTGTCCACTGACATGCATCTACAATAAGGTGTATCTATGAACATGTGTTTACAGATTCATCTCCTGATGTAGTAACAGTGAGATATCTCCTGTAATAGACCATTTTCCGTACAATTGCGAGATCTCGCGAGATGCATGAAAGATGCGCGTCGAACGTCTGCCGCAAAAATCGAACGATTTGATTTTGAACTCGAATTTCCTTATTTCGTAGCTCACACCGACCGGCCGATCTTCGACAGAGGAATATTGCTTCCGAATACCCTTACTTAATCGAAATTGCCTATCATCAAATGTGGACAGCACATTATTAAGCATGGAAATGTCCCCAAAATACTTTCGCGTTTGTCGAATCCCAAGCGATGTTTGACGCCACTACGACCTTTGTTTGTTCTGTTTTTACGTTCGATTTCACGCATAACGCGTGATTCTCGCAGTGTACGGAAAATGGTCTATTCCTTTGTTATTCCTGTAGTTAGTTACCTAAAGACTACAACAAGATGAGAGTAATCAATAAAAAAAAAGACTCTCACTCCTTCATAAGTTTATTGACAATGGTAAATCACTAGTTACACAAACATTTAAAATCATATTGTAAATCATCCTCCATGTGCTCCCTAAGCCCTGAACCTACATGTACATTTAAAATAGAATATCCAAGCCACACCATGGGACTAATTTATCATACTATACTAGTATGTAGTATCACCGGTCAGTTTAAAAGAAAAGCACTTCCAATAATGAATAGCGCCACCACAAGACATAGAATTCACCAAGAATTCAGTCGTTTTCTGCCAATGTTTCACACCAAATTTGTTTAAAACTGTGAAATAGATTTTTGTTTCAGAGGTGAATATTGTCAATGGCAAAATGCATACAATAATGAATACAAATACAAGACATATGAACAAAAACAATTCTCGCTAAAAAAAACTGAACTCTACAGTACAGTACCAGGTTTAGTTGCAAATATGATCACTGAATTGAATTATTGCTTGGCATTTTAAAGAAAACAAATATGAACTACATTATCAAGTTCACACCTAAAAGCAACGTGTTCTAAGAACAGTGCTAATATGTTCTTCGTTGTATGAAACAATCCCAAAACAAATATAAATGTACTGACGAGTTCATTCATGTTGACAGAGGTGGTATTATTGAGGGGGACCATGAGATACCAGGGGTGAATACATCAATGGTAACTGTGCACCCAAATGATGAAAAGCACATACATGCACAGAAAGTTCTTTTAAAATCCAGGAAAACAAAAATTTCAATACAAATTCTTTTAGACCTTAATATTTAGTACTGTATTGAGTTAATAAAATGATGTTGTATAAAAGGTAAGTTGACATAATGTTGATTCATAACACGTGTTGAGCTGAATGTTGACATAATGTTGATTCACAACATGTGTTGAGCTGAATGTTGACATAATGTTGATTCATAACACGTGTTGAGCTGAATGTTGACATAATGTTGATTCACAACATGTGTTGAGCTGAATGTTGACGTTGTTTTGTTAAGCATGTTGAACTGAATGTTGACTCATAACACGTGTTGAGCTGAATGTTGACATAATGTTGATTCATAACACATGTTGACCTGAATGTTGATGAGAGAGTCAACATTATGTAAACATCCATGAACATACGCAAGCCTTGCAGGAATATTGACATAATGTTGATTCATAACAAGTGCTGAGTTGAATGTCTCATTTAATATGTGAACACATCAATACATCAAATTTAAGGTGTACAGATAAAATACAAATTTCATTCTGACTAAATTTTGTAAAAAATGAGCTTCATGTTTCTAAATGGTATAACTCTCACAAACATTTAGTTTACTGTAAAAGCATTCATTTTTACTGGGAATTAAATTCATAAATTTTTTAGTGAAACAATGTAATTATTTATGTTCACATGGTATTAATTTAGCGGATTTCATTTAACAGCAGAGTTTACAGAAATAAAAACCAAATCAGAGAATAATTGATGAAAAGACAATTTTCATTTGGGTTCAATCAGACTGTACAGATCACAGAAATCATACTGTACAGATAATATGAAAATTAGAATAAAAATCAAAAGTACCAAATGATGAAAATGATATTTCATATTTACTGGCGAAAGATGAAAGCTATTTAAAAATGCACTAAAAACTTTTTTGTTGTTTGCTCTTGGTAAAGAAGCACCAGAGAACTATACAATATATATCATATACATTATTGTCAATATGAATTGCTGTCAATACAATGTTATGTATTTAGATTGTATTCCATAAAATAAAATAAAATGCATTGGTAGCAGAAAAGATACTGAAAACAGCATTCAGAATTTTTTTTTGACAGACTAAAAAAAACAACGTAAAATTGAGTAGCAGTGAAAATGTTATTGTGGTCCCTTACGAATGCTATTAAATCTTCAAATTGGGAAAACAGATTTCCATATGTAGGGGTGTGTAGAGGTTTCCTACCAGTATCATACAATAGTTTTATGTATGGATTGAACCCAATGAGATACAAAGTGTAGAAGAAATTGCCCAAGAATTTACTCAAGACATACATATACAGAAGTGTGCACACCTATCATCATCCCTACTCTGTATCCACTAATAGTAGTACAACCATATTGCATTATATGCTAGGACAATCGAAAAAAAAGTGTTGAAAATGTCTTTCTAAATTTAAAAACAGCCCCAAATCTGTTTTAACCTATCCACCCCCTTTTAGTAAATGGTACATCCTATTTATGAAAATATATATACGGATACCCACACAACTGGCACGTAAACAGGTTAAAACATTTCAAGAAAGTATTTCAAATGCGTTCAATAAAACACCAGCTACAGCTTACAAGTATGTTACCTAGAAAATTTGTCAAATTTGCTATTTCACATAAAATCGTTTTTTTCTTCTATATTTCAGTGAATATAATAATCCTAGTAGGACAGTATTCATTCAGGCTATCTGTTGTACATAGCTGTAATCTCAGTCCCTGTTCTTAGTGATAGAAATAAATAAAGTTTTTATTTCTTTATCATTCCTTCCACCTTGTTGATAAGAGTAAGTACTTGATCGTATAGTACAAATACGAGAGCTACGTCCAAACAAACTCTAGTCAAACGGGGAACAGTACCCTTGTAGAATCTAGAGAGAACAAAAAAAATAAATAAATAAAGAATATTTGAGGTTATTACAAGGCTACTGCAACGTATGCAAAATGGGAGTATTAAACAATGAAGGGTAATATTAGATACAAAACTACCATAAAACTCAATTAAAATTCATCTATAACATGTTCAAGTTCAATAATTTTTTCGCTGTATACTTAGTTGGTGATCACAGTCAGAAATCACAACACATCATACTGGTAATAATTTCCATTTGTAAGCTGATATTCACGTTCTTAAAAAAAACAATTATTTTTACTATCATGAATTTATTGAGTTTTTACGGTAGTGTGTACAAATGTATGTACTTACCATATATGAATCAGTTGTATTTTGATTAGTTTGGCAATTCAAAATAGCCACCAGAGTAGGATTCAACACAATGTTGGTAGTTACAAAAACATTATTTCCATGGTAACAAGTACAGGTACCCTTTCTTTTTTTGTCATTTATTCGATACACTCTTTCACCCAGAAAAATATTAAGATATGTAATTTTTTTTTATATTGTATTTTTAATAGTTAGAAACATTCACTTTCAATACCAGGGGGTATACTGTAGTTATTCATTTACTTACGCTTTGCCTCCTTCATGTTTTGCTATCTTTACAATACAGTCCCATGTGCTTTTGTATTTATGAGCATCAAGACCCTACAAAGAAATACAATTTATTACAATGCAGGAAATTAAAAGCGACATGATGATATGTAACCGAATATTTCAAAATCATCCAGAGTGAACTTTAGAAATGGTTCTTGAATTTTGGTGTTTTAAGAGACAAAAATGGCTGCAATTCGGTTAAAAGTCAATGATATGCAACTAATTTGAAGGGCGGTGGTCGTGCATGCTTGAGATATGGGACTTGTATGAACACAAGATGATGACTTTGACTTTTGTGCAAATAAATTGGATGCTACCAGACTTTAACTAGATAATTTCTTTGGTGATTGGAGGGCACAGCAGCGGTAATTAGTGCACCTTGCACTCAGGTCAAAGCTTGTAGTCGTGATTTTCATTAGAGCGCATCTGATTGTGGGAAAATTAATATTTATCGACACTAATGTCACACATGCATGGTGCAGCGATCAACACTCTTTAAGAGCATATGTATACTATTATGATTTTGTTATCAAATTTGAGCAAAATTGGTACAGGCATGTACTAGAAATGCATCAACTCAAAACAGACGTCTCTGTCTACATCTGATGGGGACTAATCACAAAAGCCTACCTGCATTCTTGTTTTCACCACATCAATAGGAGTATTACCAAAGACAGAGCAAGCACCAGCGAAGCCACCCATTGCGGCAGTCACAAATGGATTCAGTGCCTTTTTCTCATCAATGCTATATTTAATTCGATACCATGACCTCATCGAGTCCATGACTAGGAAACGAATTGCTTGGTTGCTACCTTGTTTGATGATGGTTGCCGTTGCACCTTGATATATACCACCGAAACCTGATTAAAAGAGAAGAGAAAAAGGACTCATCAGAATATAGTGTATACCATCTCAGTGTTACGACTGTGAAGTGTGTACCCATCAGTCACAATTAAATGGACTCACTCCAAATGTAATTCTGGCTTAGGGATTGATTGAATACTTAGATCAGAAGCAATAGCCCTATCACAGATCTGAAAGCAGATTCTTCTCAACATGTACCAGGGGTAAAAATTAAGGCCTGTCCATCTGTCCCAGACAAGCAGATTTTAGCTGGGAGAGGTAAATAAACAAAATGCCTGACTATGTTGACAGACGAATAAAGATGTACATGTAATGGTCCCGAGTTGCTAATGTCAAGAAAAAATAATTTCAGATTTTCAGCCAAGAATTTTTTTTCAATTTTTTATGTTATAATGTATCTTGTTAGGGACAGAAAATCACTTTTATTCACTAACCATTCAATAGATAGAAAACTTTTATTTTTAATTTCAACAACTGAGTACCCCACCTCACCCGACCCTAACATGTGTACTACACGATGAAAGCCAATATTTCTAGTCAGTACTCACCTTCATTTCGTACAATCATTCTACATCCGTGGAAGAAACCCTTAAATTTTGGATTTGTTGATGTCTGGTCATGGATAAATTTCACCTTAATGGTCTCCATGGGAGTGACAGCTAAGATGGCTTCTGATATACCAGCACCAAGACCACAAAACATACTACCAAGTTTGCTTATTTTACCATTGTTACGCTGACGCCACTGGTTTTTGAAAAACTCATTAGCACCAAATCTGTAAAATTTGAGAAAGAGAGATAATAAGAAGTGGTTTATTTTGCAAAACAACTATCCATATATACAACCAGGGACAGAATAGCGTGACTGTTTCTTGTAGAAATGTGCACCAAGAGTGTTGTATTATTCATTGTTTATGCCTCATCAAGTATTTGCTGTGAAATTATGAGCGTATGTCGCTAAAAAGCAAAACAAAAAAACAGATAACTTGTGTTTTACATGCATCTCTAAACTTGCAGTGTATGTGCGAAGAACACACTTTTATGCCCTTGGTTGTAACATAATTAATAATATATCTATTAGCATAATTACATCATTTTTCAGTAATAAACACATAACTGCCCTTATATAAGTAATGTTTTATTTAAGTTAATCTTATATGTTTGCATATCGGGTAGACCCAATTGTATTCACACATGAGAGGGGACAGAGTTAGCAAGGGTTAACTAATGCACAAACTTAAATACAAATTTCAAGTCTTTTTAACCATTAATACTAGTACAGTAAAAGGAAGGTATGTTAGTTCAACAGTTATAAAACAATATTAAAGCCAGAAGAAAAATAAATTCAATTAGTCTCATTGCATAATATCAAAAATAATTGCCGCAACTCAACCCTAATCTATGTACCCTCTTTAGGGGTTGTGAGTAAGGGTACTTTATGGACTATATAATGGCTTACCTGACAGCCGCCTTTGGAACGGAACCATATATAAGTACACTGAGACCCCGATAGAAACCAAAGTAGCCATAATTTCTCCATGTGTATTTAATACAATCCACTGGTCCTTTGTATTTAGGTTTTGCAGACCTTTCATCTAACTGTATTTGTGTTTTTACATACTCTGTGGGAAATGTGATGCAGACTTCTAGACCTCCAGCTATACCACCTGTCAATCAAACATACAAACAACCAATCAGTTACATGTTTTCAGTTAAAATGTTGAATGGTTATTTTATCAGTACTGTAATGCTCTATTAGTAGCACATCTAGAAGTATATATAAACCAAAGTTAATGTACACTGGATCATTAAAATATTATTTATTATTATTTTAATTACATCTCAATTGTACATGTACTAATAAAGTAAATATGGTAATATTAATCCAAGAAAAATTCACACATACTGCAGAATACTTAATTTTCGCTTGGAATTTATTTTCGCTGAAGGGATGATTGTGTGAAAATAAAATCCAGCGAATATACCTTTTTCCTATATTTCACATTCAACTCATCAAAAATCAGTGAAAATAAATTCCATACAAAACGGCCAAAAAGCCTTTTCGGCAAAAATTAATTCCAGCTAAAATAAAGTATTTCACAGTACATGAATACTGAATCCTAACTAAGACAAATTAATGATTGAGTTTAATCTACAGTTCACTGGTACTTATTTCAATCTCCATGATAAAATCAGTTTTACTAGATAAACCTTTTACACTAAGTAATTCACTCTATAAATGTTTCCAGAATACATGAATAATTTGTAGTCTAATCAATCATACAGTTTAGCAATCATGTGCCAATCACATCTGGTACCTCATCAGTAATCCAATGTCACTATGAATTACATGCAGTGGTTCTACGGGTATTCATGAATGAAAACATGTAAAATATAGGAAAAAAGATATATTCACTGAATTTTGTAGTGTTTTCATTGAATGTGTATAACAATGCATAACATACTATTGTAAACTAATTAATTTTCGCTTAAAATTTATTTTTGCTGAAAAGATGAATAAAATCTAGTTAAAATACTCTTTTTTTTTCTATATTTTACATTCAACTCATTAAAAATCAGTGAAAATAAACTTTACACAAATTTTTGTTCAGCATAAATAAATTATTTTACAGTATTTGTTTGAATGCACAACACAACTGTGGTGCCTTAAACATTTGCCATTTGTAATATTCTCTTGATTTGGATGAAATAAAAGGCTTTTCATGGAAGTAAGGACGTCTTAAGAACCCCAGTAAAATTTATGAAAATAAAGCAGTTTACAATACATGTGTATTTGCATAGAGCAAGGCTTATCTTTGCTATCTCAGCAACTAGCATTACAACATATTTTATTCAACGACTGGATAATGTGATTCCTAGGTCAATCCCATCATGCCTTGCAGCTATAAAAACCTTGATGTAAATTAAACATGTACTGGTAAAGTTAGACAAATAGACCTACAAATTATTGACACATTCATGTAAATAGTAGTTTTTATGGATACGACTCTAAATATAACATCAGAATATTGGAAATTATTTATGCTGACATCACCAATAAGGATCGATGATTTTTGTTGTATTTCATAAAATATGAATAAATATTATACATATTTAATAACCTTAATAAATATGTATGAAATTGCACTTCATGCAAAAGCAAATACAAGTAGCTTACTGAAGTGTGGTTCAGTGATTGAACCCTAGATAATATAGGTCAAAGGTTGAATACTGATCTCTCTAAGCCGCCAGGGAAGACAAATGTAAAAGATGTCTTTTTTTAGCTAGCATATATTACTAGTATTGAGTTAATTAACACAATATGAGACGGAATGTCTGGGTTGTATGTCTAAGTTTACATGTATATACTTGATACAATACAAAAATATATAAATACAGTACAACTAAATGTACTATCTGTGATACATTGTGAAGTAGGTACGTAAGCCATTACAGTATGACTTGTGACATTATCATTCAGTACAATTATCTGTTTTCAGGGTCACTAAATTAACCTTAAATTGTATGAATATTTTGAAAAGATGATTGAGATAGTAAGACAATTTGACAGATTTATTCCCTTATCTATCCAGTTGATGAGAAAATCTAGTCATTCACCGTAAGTTAATATTTCATGATGAGTGAATTTTTTCTCCTAATTTATTGATCAAATAGAATTATTCATTCACTTGATCTTATGTGATTCATGTGTTGGAAAACTCTGCTATGATTATGAATATGTAACAGAAACTACAAATCCAATGCAACTAATTATTTCAATGGCACATCTGTGAATTACGCCAGTCAATGCATTCAGACAATTAACCTGTATTCTGCTAGCCCCTGCCAGTATATACTTTTACATTGACTTGACCGAATAGGGGTTAATGTTTACGTTATTTATTTATATTATATAATTTATTATCTATAAATGGTTCTCATTCAGAATTTTTTACAAGCTAAAAAAAAAAAATGGAAATCTATGTAGTCTAAACAAAACTGAAAAGCAAACAAAATAAAATAAATGAAAAAAGTTTTTATTCAAAGCAGATTTTTGTTTTCACTGGCTACCAGCTCTTCTTTACACCACTAAAAGGGTATTACCTTGAATCAAACTTTGCATAAAACTAGGGAGCCTTTGCTAATCAAAGAACAGATCACAAGTCTTTCTTTCCCTGCACTTTAAAATCTCAGGGGTAAATCATTGCGGGTTTGTGGTGATTCTTTAAACATGACACTGTCACAACAAATATGTAATTCAGGTACAGCAATAGAGAGATGTACGAATAGATGTAGATTTCATAGTTTAATCAAAAATTATAAATGAAAAATAAATGAATGAAAAAATAAATGAAAAATTGCACTTGTGTTAAACAATCAGTAGTATGTACTAAATAAATTTAATCTAAAGTTCCTAAAATGAGCAAACTGTAATTCAATAACTCATCTACCAGCCTGTCACTGAGAACTGAGTAATATAATCAATTTCACTACTGCATGGGGGCCCTGAGGTTATCGTAACTTTTAATACTAAGTGTACACTTGCTGTAATATTTGATACGATGATTTGATATTTTGAGTCTGAACTGGAATAGTAAGTACAGGGTAGAAAGCCAGCAATTACAAAATGAGCAAGGCTCCTATATAAAGATTCTAACATTTTAAAAGCACTACAAATTCTTGACACCCTGAACTTGTTACCATGGAAACAATTCTTCCAAAGTATTTACCAGTAAACCTTACTCTGGTGGTCATTTTGAAGTGATAATTACCCAAAATGCATAGGTTCATAAATTTGTTGTGATTAAAACAATATACAGTAAATGCATGAAGTACGAAACCTGGGTTAGGCTTATTTTCAATTGCCACGATGGCCACTTTTTCCATTTCCAGGAATTATATTCTGAAGAACATTTCAGGACAGGTTATAGTGACCTTCACATATTTACCATAAAATGATCAAATCATAAAAACTTTCAACAGGAAAAATGATAATGATACATTGTATACATGCAGGGATTGCGTTAACCCCATATATTGCTTCCCGGACTCCAATAATTGAAGAGGGACCCAGTTTTTCAGGCATGTTGGGGTCCAATCTCTAATAAAGTTAACCAGGGGCAAATTTCAATTTCTTAAAATTTTGTAAATGGGACTCGTCTTGCTAAGACACTAGCGCAAACCCTGAGTCATGTAATATTATAATGTAACGTGATTTAAGTGTTCTACTTTCATGTCTGTGGATAATACCGGTAGTATGGATGGCCAATATGTGATACTTACTACAAACAAAGCCTAGCATCAATTGAATAATATAAAAAATATTTTGTACAGCAACTGTAAGCAAACATTCTTAGTACGCAATTATTCATATAATGCAACATCTGATACCAGAGAGCATTAAAAAAATTTTACAAGTTTTGTTGTGATGTGATGTTTTGCACAGGATATTATTATTAAATTAATTATCATCAAATGACAACTTCAAACCACTGTAATATTTTACAACATAAAGATTATAATGCAATAATTTTATTAATTTGCATTGATATGGGATAGAGTTATTTTGTTTATTGCATCCCTTCTACCCAGTAAATTATGTACTTAGCCTACTGACTGATTTTATCATAATGTAGGTCAGGCACTATAAAATAGGAAATTTTTGCTGATTCAGTGAAAAAATAAAATCCAGCGAATATACTTTTTTTCCTATATTTACATTTAACTCGTCAAAAATCAGTGAAAACAAAATCCACACAAAACATCCAAAAAGTCCTTTTTGGCAAAAATTAATTCTGGTTAAAATAAAGTATTTGACAGTATATATGACTGCATGTTGTTGCCAAAATTACAAAAATAATATTTGTATACTGTAAAACCTAAGACTTGCATACAGTCTTTTGTATGTGAGTATATAAATGGAAAAAGCTTGGTTACCGCGAAAAAAATCTGAGAGATTTGTGTCCCTTGTAGACGCCCTCTTGCGACATCAGTAGCAATGACTGTCACTGGTCTAAATGTTCAGTGCGTGATGCTATGTTTGACAGGGTTATTATTATTCCACCAATTAGCGTTAAGGTCAAAACAAGAGATAAATTAGGATAGTTATTATCATTTTCACATGTTTGTATTTCACAATATTCTTTGAGGTTATTACATGTGGCATTGAAGGTGTACAAAAGATACTAGGCCATGCATCACTTCAATAAAACCAACAAGAGACTGTTGATGCATACACTTCTGGTTGCAACGTTATTTGATAGTGTGTCCATTGGTAGCAAAAGTCCCAAACTTTCCAAATTGCATCTTTCTGCCGAAATTCCAAACTTATAAAATATATTTGACCAACATACAATACAAATGCATTCCAGAGTCCTTGACAGTTGTGATACTTGATTTTGTTGGCGTGCTAGTAATCATTTACTCGCCATCCACAGCCATAATGAAAGATTATATTATAAAATTATATGCATGCCTGCTCGAGCCAAAGATTGTGTAATATGTAAATCATGCCAATCTGTGATGTAATTAAAATGCTCATCAAAGCAGGGAGCTGTAATGAAAAAAATCTCATTACAGCTTCCTGATTAAAGCAAGGGAATCCTCACCAGGGACACACACAAGTCTCTTGTTTGTTCCATGGTAATCTGGTTTTCGCAGTAACCCTGCTCACATGATATTATATTTTATTGAATTTTACTCATCGGCGAAAATAGTGTAAATTAAAACCAGCGAATAATTAATGTGTTTACAGCATGTATAGAGATTTTTCGCCAACAAAGTACAAAATGTCAAATAGACAAACCAGAAATACACATGCAGTACTTAAAAACAAGGACTAACAACAAGATCTATGCCTACTTGGACATTTTAACACATGCAATGGAATGAATATTCAGGAAGTGTTATGTATATACCATATCAGTTAGTACATCCATGGTCAGTTAAAGGTCAAACTCATAAATGGAAAACAGTGAAAAGATTTAGAATACAACCATGTTGACCCTGAAACAAAACCATTGTTTTTATCCAAATAGAGAACTATAACAACTGAAAGCAGCTTGACAATAAATCAGGATCTGAAGAGTGAATAATTTACTATTATACATACATGTTAATTATTAATATATATACATGTAGTTCTTGTTTCTTTATATAGTTTCTATTGGGAAAATTATTTCATAGAATACACAAAGATGATTGAATTGGTTGTAATATTATCTTACAACATGCAATGCTTATAAAGAAAAATTATGATGATCACTATGATTGTTTTAATTGATTTGTTTTATCTATTTGCGTAGTTGTTGTTCATGTGATTAATTAAAGGTGTAACATCAGCACCTTGGACCACTATTGTCCAGTGCTGTTGTTGTAAGATGTCTCTTTCTGTCATCATTTATTTATTTATTTTGTAGCAACGCCTCACAATAAATCCCCAACTTGTTTAACTGGCCAGGTTCTGCAGCTGCTGGGTAAATGAAATCTGGTAGCAAGCTGTTTCCCCTATTTGTTATCAAGCTACATTATGACATTGTGCTCAATATTTCATGGATCTCCAGGTGTTATGTTATCGTTAATACTCTATTAAAGACACAACATCAGTGCCAAGAACCACTATTGTCAAGCGTAGTTGTTGGTGAAAGGGCTTCTGTAAGTCTAAAATCATTAGAGATGTTACTATTGTTTATTTGGGGGTACATAAGCAATGATAATTACACAAGAAAAACAAGACTGCAATTTGATTAATCCAGAAAGACAGCTGTGTTGACCTTTAGTCAAAGTGTTAATTATTCAATGCTGCAGCAGATTCTATCAATAGGTCTATACAATTTCAGGATAGTTACATTGACCACATGTTTGTAAATATAACTGTGTATACTACACATTGTTTTAGTGCCTGTAAGAAATGATAATTTGGGAAATCGTGAAACAGCAGAGAGACTACACATTTTTTACTACAAGCTAATCTACAAGCATCTAAGGGGATTATCGAATATGTATATAATAAGCAGTCTGTTGTGGGTTTAATAGTTGCGTTCACGCACAGCTCCTTAGCACGGGCTAAGAGGTCAAATTCCTTAGCCCGTGATAAGAAAACGTGCGTGAACGCTTAGCACGGGCTAAGAAATGCTAAGTACAGGTTAAATCTGATTCGAATTTAAGACGCGATCTAGACCCTTAGCAGGGGCTAACGAAGTATGCGCGAACGCTTAGCCCAGGGCTAAGCGCCCTCTGCGGCGACCTTTGGGTGTGAAAATTGTCCCATGTTCGTATAACGACTCTATTCCACTAGTCATTACTCCGTGCTCGCTTCCACATTGATCGGGTCGCTGTATTAGAGCGTACAGCAGCTCCAATTGTAGACAACATAAATTTTGTTCGCTGTCTACGACGTGCATTAATAAAACTCTGTATTCTGTTACGCCCGTTGTATACTGTTTCTGTGCATCCAAATAAGTTGGGTCCGTCTTCTCCTCACGTTCCTGTGCATGTCGCTTCAATATTAGAAAGAAACATGCCAGCAGCAGAAATAGAACCTTGTGTGTGTCATCCGTTTTTCGTTCGTAAATAGCGGCTTACCAAAGGTCACCGACTAATGACACCCCTTAGCCCGTGCTAACGACTGACCCTCTCTGTGCGTGGACGCAATTGGGTCCAGCCGAAATGCAAATATGCTAGATAAGTCTAAATCAGCTTAAATCTTAGCCCGTACTTCGTGTAACGTGAACACAACTAATGGCAGGGGACCTGGTTGATAATTCTTGTTAGTTTATTGGCAGTGTATTTCAACAAACCATGGACAAATCACCACACAGTCAATTCTGTATTGTAGCTGTGGCATAAAATCACTGTTATAATGTCGTAGATATTCAATTTGGAGATATGTAGGGGGACTAACAAGTCGATGAAAAATTTGATCAGAACTCGATAAGAGCTGTTCACAACAAACAATGTCACTTGAAAAGAACTAAGCTCCATTTGTTAAGAATAAAACCATATGCAGGTCTTTAATTAGGTGTGGCCTGCATGCATACTATTTGTATAAAACCAGCCAGCATACAGACTGTTGTTCACATTGATAAATACAATCACATCTATTATTATACAAAGTAACTCCTTGATTAAAAAATATACACACATTATTTATTGACTTTTGTTTACTAGCTATACAATCAGAATTTTATTTTTGAACTTTTGTATTGGAAAGAACAGTTATATAATTTTATTTGGAACGTACCAATGAAATAAGACGGCCTCGCACCACCTTTACTCATTGCATCATGTACTTACAGTACACCAATAGAATTGTGAGGTTCTACCACACCTCCAGTCTCGGCCAATGATACTCCACTTGCAGTAAATATCCAGGGGTCAATGATAGAGTGTATTTGGAGGTCATCGACACATCACACGATCCAGTGACTAATTTCTGAATGTTGACATTAATTTACAACGCAAATACACTGAATGCGCGGAACAATCTGATGTAAAATAGTCAATTAACTTAGACCTTCACAGATATTGTACATTTCTTCAAAAAACACGCAAAGTCTGATATAAATTCTATCTACATGGAATTTTCCCCCGATGCGCCAGGACGGAGATATTTTAGCCGGCGCCGGGATCAAGTTGTCTGTCGATCCATGTATACATTATTATAACAAGTACAAAAAATACACTAGTGAAATATGAAAATATATAAATATGTTCAGTGATTCAGTTTATGGTCGACCCCGCTGGCTACTGAACATGACCCAGGATTTCCGATGTAAGTTTTATAAATTATTGTCTGACTGCACGTATACACCGATTGTTACTCACCAGCTAAGATTCCCTTCAGTGGATGGGTCGGTGGAGTAGCACCAGCTGCGACGGCCAAGGATCTCTGACGTCCGAAAGGATCCTGGAACGGACCCGATCCATGTGGCAATGGTTTTGATGTCATCTTGTGATACGGTGTGAATTTACAGCCTACTAATCGGAGCAGCGTCCATGCAACTAAAAAGACACAACGTATAGCTTTTCATAGACTGCCAGCTGAGTTGACATTTGGCAGAAGGTCACATTACATAGCATAATCACGCGAGAGTAAGGTACCGTGAGACTGTCTATCACATGATCAGTCATTCTCCAATCGTAGTCGCGGGTTTCTCCCTAGCAACGTGTGTTTTTTCGAACAAACTATTTTTTTATAGGGGGAATAATATTACAGAGGGATTTTTCAAGAATATCAGTAATTGACATGTACAATTTTTGTATTCAATTATCGCTAAAATAAAATGATTTTATGGAAACACATGAAGTATTCTCTCTTTGTTGTTATGATGCACACATTTCTCAAATATCCTAAAAACCATAGATTGCCAAGAATGTGAACACCTTCTATACTTTAGGCCAGTGTACCATGTTGCTATGTAAACGCAGCCAATGGTTTATTCTCACCAAAACAAGTACAGTTCAGTTCCATGGTAGCAGGTCAAAGCAGTTCTGCCTACCTTTAGAGAGTTATTTAACCGTATTCTGTGATTTTGGTGAGTATAAATCAGTAATATTGTTCTGAAAGGATATAATATTCATAACTTTGGGCTAAAACACTACTGTACAACCAGCTAGTTCTTAACAAGGGCTGATCAGTTTCGTTCGAAACGTGAAGCGATTGAGCGGCATGCAAGTTCGCGAGCTTTCGATCATGGAGATATACTCACTTTAGTGACATTAACTACTAGTATACTTGTGGTTGTATACAATCGTTGTGAAATATTCACTCAGTATATGATTTGCCATGGTGACACAATGTGAAAGAAAATTCGACAATGATGATATTTATTCTCATACCCATTCTGTCATTGGATTTTGATAATCTTCTCAAATTCAATATGGCGGTCCTTGCATCTTCAATGATCTAGGCTTTTGAACATTGGTTATTACTAGTATACGTCCGTTATTGCACTAAATTAAACTGTCATCATTGTCCATGGGACAGTTCTGTTTTTGTTTTTCTAATGTCCCATATTTACTGAAACATAAAGTTATGGTCGTGTCATGAAGCTCAGTGTGTTGTGTTCACATAGACAGTCTGCATATACAGACAGTATATGTTTACTTTGATTTGACCACAGGGAGCCCAGGAACTATAATCAACTGTAATACGCAGTCTCTATGAGCG